TATTGTTATTTAATTTCAAATTTTTGCATTTTATCATTTCACATGCTATTTACCATTCAATTGTTGTTCTTTAAAACTGGATTGTTACACATTGTAATGATGATTTAAATAATACAGAAATTTTGTTTAAATCGTTAACTTTAGTTTTACCAATTTTTAAAAAACATTCAACTTTAAAAAAACTTTTTAAGTTTTTTGTTAGCAATATGCTAAAACTAAAATATATATTGACACGTATTAAAAATTGTCACGAAGTTGTTTAAAACTGGACCCTGCTGACCCTGTTATAATTATAAATTTAAATGTTTTTTAGTTGGCAATTATTTAATTATATGAAGGTTAAATTTAATGAAATATACAATTTTTAAAATCTTGCATAAGAAAAAGGTTTATATATAGCATCATACATTTTATCAACTATGATATAAATCAATTACATTAAAATTATATAAACACAAAACTTTATTATATTGGTTTACAAGTTTAAATATTAAAAAATATATATTTGACTTTATTTTAAACATAACTGTAGTATGAAACAATTGAATAAGATATGTAATATAATATTATATTATTTTACAACCAAATATTACGAGGTTTTTATTTCAAGTTTGTTACAGTTTCTAAAACTTCCCGATGCATTGCTTGTATTGATTACAAATTTATTTTTATTGTCAAATGTTTTGTATTAATCTTCTGGACAACACAAGATAATATATTTAGTTATTTATTATAATTTATTATAATAGAATAATATTTTAATTAATTACAGTTACAAATATTTCTAAACTAACTACGTCCAAATTATTCATCATGTTTAGAGAACATTAATATAAGAATTTTTTATATAAAAACATTTATTATTCTTTTTATAGTTCTAAACCATTGTTTTCTTATTCGAACTATCAAAATAAATAGTTCATTAAAATAGTGACATTATTCCATTTAATAATAATTAAAACCACCTTCCAAAATCTTCTTCATATCTAGAGAACGATGTAACAAACAAATTTAGTCATTGTAATTCAATCAATCAAATAATAATTATAAATGTACTTTATCGATATAATTTGTGATTGTTTTGCAATAAACCAATAATAATACACTCAATTTATGATACTTCTATTTTTCTTGGTTTGAACTGTACTTTTTAGTGTAAAAATAAAAAACCATATTACGTGTCATAGACTATATAATAGTTTATAGAACCACGTAATCCATCAAACAATGTCAAAGCCAACATGTGAATGCTGTTGCAAATACGCCCAACATATGGAACACCCTGAACACGAAGGTGTTCTTTGTCCAGATTGCATCAAGACTGGAAAAGTGATCGCCGCAGACTATTATTGCAAATGTTGCAACAATGCAATGAGACTCTATCTCCACGTTGATACAGATGGAAAAGTACTTGATGCAAAGTATCAATTCTTTGGATGCAAGAAGTTTGCTGTTTTGGCCGATGTTTTGTGTGGACTTTGCATTGGTAAGACTGTCGAACAGTTGCTCACAATCACCAATTTGGACATAGAAAAGGAACTTCAAGAACCCAAGCTTCCAAAGGACAAGCTCTTTTCAACTTCATTCTTCTACACCATCATCAAGCGTGCTGTTTCACAGTACACCACAAAGAAGATTACTGACATTGAAAGTGAAGAGATTGTCTGTGGGTGTGGAAATATATCATTAACTACCATCAAGAATGCTATCAAAGAAAAGGACTTGAAGACAGTCGAAGAGATCACAAAGGAGACAAAGGCTGGCTCGTTCTGTGGATCTTGCCCAAAAGCTGGTGGAAAGTACTGCAAGAAGTATTACTTGGAAGACATCTTAAGAGAAACACGAGCTCAGATGGAGTGTCAGAAATGCTGTGAAAAGAGTTGTGAAAAGACCTGCGATCATATGACCTTCTTCCAGAAAATAATGAAAATCAACGAAGTTTTCAATGAAAAGATCGGTAAAGAAGAGAAAGCTCACATTTATGATATCAAAGAGAATAGTGAGGCAGTTGCTGTGTTGATTCAAATTGAAGGCAAGTGTTGTGGATGCTGTGAGGAGAGTTTGAAGAAGAGAGACGAAATCCAAAAGGTACTCAGAGAAACTCTTTGCAAACACATTGATGTCATGG